TATTACCTTGAGATCATAAAGAATATCATTGCGATGAGCTATGTCCCTAATTCTGGTTAGAGAGACAAATGCAATAAACTCTGCTGTGAAAAAGGCAAACATGGATGGATTATCCGAGCAATAAGTACTTCCTACCATATAAAATCTTATTCAACTTAAAGAAGCTACTAACTTAACAACAGTAACTAAGTGGTAGCGAGTTGGTTCGATCCTACTTGGAAAAAAGTTGCCATGTTGGTACAAAGTAATGTTCAATTCTACTCAAGCTAGTATTATCAAATTATTTATAATACTTGGAAAAAAGTTGCCATGTTGGTATAATAGTCAAACTCATTTGAACATTCGATAAATAGATTATTTGGTGGCTACATTCGCTCTAACATAAAAAAAAATGGTTTATTTCTGATGTGTAGTTAAAGATGAAGAATAAGTGGTTTCTAGTCTCCCCCTCCAAAATACAACATGATCCTTGCCATGAGTTCCCTACACTCAATATATCTCATGTTGCTAGAAGACTTAAAATCGCAAGCCAAAAAATTAAAGAAACGAATATTTCGGAGTAACATATTTAAGCCACACACTTCTGTTCCAAACGATAATAGACCATTTTCATGTTAAACTCAACCTTAAATATATGATCTTAAGAAGCTGCTACATTGTTTGGTAGCAAACATCAAATCTTAACGACAACAAAATTTGATGCAAAATTAATGTTTGGCAGTCAAAAGTTAGGTGGTCTAACCATGTGTTATGGACATGTTTCTTGCTCTAAGGTACAAGATTCCTTAATTATCAGTTCTTGTTTTCATCTACGTTTATTTTGACAGCTACGTTTTAGACACTTCAAAGCAAAATCAATAAGACATTTTAAAAACAAACAAAAAAACATTTTTCTTAAAAATACCTAAATCCTTAAAACTGATAAATACTAAATTTCAAAATTTGAACACTAAAAGACTAAAATTGACACATTCTATTTCCTTGATTTTTAAAAAGGGAGGATTGGTTTAATATTCCAAAAATTTTACAAAATTTGAAAACTAACCTTTTTTGAAAATTTTGAGAAATAACCATTTTGTTAAATAAATAGACAAAACATCCTGATTAATTTTTGAACATTTAAAAATTAAAATAAAATCATTTCGAAATTAATTTTAGTTTATTTATTTAAGATATATTTTATAACAACAAAAGAAAAA